TGTGAAAATATTATAAGAGCTCGTCAACAGGAGATTTTAAAACAAGGATGTGGAAGGGGAAAACATTGTGTATTGTTAACCAGGAAAATGGGGGGAAAAGTTTTTTAAAAGACACAGGAACACAGAAAATAGCAAGGAGGATGTGTGACCTACATGCAAATGGCTGGCCAAGTATTGTAATTGAACAGTTATCAAAAAAGAAGGCAAGTGGATTGAAGAGCACGGAAGAAAGTTTGGTAGCGGACTTTCTCAGTGGCAGCCTTCATTTACTTACTTTTTGTGGGAGATCAGATACACGTACATGTGTACATGTACAGTACAGTACATGAGACAATCCATTACTTGCCATTATTAAATAACTAGAGCACTAACTCCTCACTGTCTTGCATAGAATACTGTTGTAAGCGTCTGGGCACAGACATTTGAGTTCATGTACGTACATGTATCCATAGAACATTGAAATTAAATTGAATTTGAAAGACTTTCTCTAAATGCAATGCTAGTGTACAACAAATGCAGCCAGTGTATAAATGTACATGCCTACTATTAATAACAAAATAATCATTACAACACATAACAGGCAATGTGTGTGTTGTTGATAACGCAGAGCAAAATATCATGCTCATTTTACCAATTGAGCCCCTCAGTTTTGGGGGTATCAGTTTCAATACGCACCTTCATGGAATGCATTTGATACATGAACACAAATTTCCAACTCTCCATATTTTTGTGCACAAATATGGATGCACCAGCAGGTACAGTACACTGTGCTATGGCAATCACAATAACATGGCACATAATAATTATGTGTATTGTATGTAAAAATAAATAACATGTACATGTTTGGTCCTTTCAAAAAACTGAATACAGAGGGAAGAATGTCCTGTACAGTAAGATGTACCGGTAACTGTGCACATATCAAATCTTTATTTCACCGCTAAAATATAGCGTTAGCACACAGAATTACTGCTAAATTCTTACCTCTTGATTTCTATTCCATTTCACAAGCATTCATTGAGCTTGCCTTAAGCAAAACCCATAATATAATGGGGGATTATTTTTCTAATTTGTGCCAACTGACCGAGACCATTATTGCCGCTATAATACGTGACCTAATTTTAGCACCTGTGTGGATTCAACTAACCCAGTATCACTACAATGCATTTCAATCATGACCAGTGACACGCACACATTTAATGTGGTAAATCTAAGTCATTTTAACCCCAATTTATTTCCTTTGTGATAATTCATGTCGACCATTCCCCAATAACGTTGACATACATTTGATATCATTGATTTTCATGTGTTTTGAACAACAAATATTACATATTTTTGCACATGGTATCAAATAGCTAAAAATAGAAGAATATCGTAATCTTTAGGAAATACAAATCTATAATCCGACGGATTCACAATACGTTATTACAGATGGCTTATTTTCTTTTCTTTGTCACAAATGGTAGAAGATGTTAAAATGTAAAATCACCACTGCAGAATTGAAAATTGATATCTTTGAGGCAGACAGTTACTCCTTGAGTTGACAAAGAAAGTTGTATTTCTGTTGTTTCATGTCATTCATCAAAACCAAAACCAACTCCCTCAGACCACGCCAACCTCCTAAAATTTTATTGGATCTTCTTCATTTGCTCGTAAGAACAGATTTGACGAAACAAGGACAGTTGCTATAACGGGGTTGTAGAGTAAATAACTTCATACGTAAAGCATCCGCGAAAATTGAACTGCAAAAAATCCTCAAATTGATAGACAAACAGATAATTTTGTTATGTGTGTGTGCCACCAAACAGTAGGAATATGGGTCACATACATGTCCTGTCTGCATAATACACCTTGCACTGTGCTACAACTTATTCCACATGTACCTTTGAGTTTCAAAATATCAATTATTTTCATGTTCTGTCCCAGATTGTGAATGTAGAGTAAATACACATTACTTTCCGCAGGCCTGACTGCCATGTCGGACCTACTCTAAGCTTTACACCGGGTGAAGTACCCTACATGTATGTGGTAGACTAAAGAGTTGGCATGGTATTTTCCACTTGTAATGTAAGTGTACAAGACAAGAATCAGAACAGTCAATGCACAACAGACAGATGAGGGTAAACAACAAGCTGCAAGTACACACCAACCATTTGTCTGCAAAGCAAACAGGTGCAGGCTGGGATCAAATTGGCCGTGCCAACTCAAAGCAATTCTTGAAATAATTACTTGATTTTCATAAGTTCAAACATACGTGCAACATATCGATGCACAACAGACAGATGAGGGTAAACAAACCAGGTGCTAAACTAAACACGGACCAATTGTCCGCAAAGAAAACAGGACAGGCTTACCTTGGCTGATTCTACAATTTGAAGCAATTCTAGAAACACATGTACTTTCTTGATTTCCATGCAAGCACAAACTGCACAAGATGGGAATCACAGTAGCCAATGCACAATAGACCGATGAGGGTAAACAAGGTGCTAAAGTAAACACCGTCCGATTGTTCGGCTTGGCTTGGCTGTTCCTGATTTGAAGAGTTCCTTGAATGAATGAGTTCTTGATTGTATTGTAAAGTACAAATTGTCCACAAGCAGGCAGGAAAAGCTTGACTTGGCTGATTCTGCTTTGAGGCAATTCCTCCAATCATTTCATAAGTTTCACAATTTTGCCAACACAGCATTTTCTTAACAACAGCCAGTTAGACAAAATCCTGATTTGTTCTAGACATACACTCTGCTAACCCAGAGGAACGTTTTCTCAATAATTACAGGTTAAATCAAGGGTTAGGGTTAGGGAAATGGTTAGTTTTCAACTATAAATTACCTGTGGTCCTGAAATCCAGACCGCACATGGTTAGCCGTGCTGCAAGTACCGACCTGTATGTTAGAATGTGACAGAAATACCAAAGCAGCTTTTTTTCCTTTGCTAAGGACAAACCAAGTCAATTCCCCATAGACATAAATGTAAGGACAGGAGCTGTTAAATTTCTCACTGTCACACTTATCTTGAGATTAAAAAATCTGACTGCCCTGCTCTTACTTCACATTGTTAATCCTGTTAATTACTGCCTCTCTGCCTATTTCTTTCCCATGGTTCTGCCTCTTCAATTGTCCAATAACTGGGTTCCATATACATGTACTTTGTAGGTGGGCAATGGGGGGGGGGGGGGGGAAAGACGGTCAAATGAATTATTTTTTTTGGGGGGGGGGGGGGGGGGGGGGAAAGCACTAATCAGAAGTTATTACGCCTCCCTCCAGATTCTGAGGGGAGGGGTACCATGTACATGTTATGGGCAATCAGGACGGGGGGGGGGGGGGGGGGGGGGGGGGACAGGGTCAAAAGATTTTTTTCCTCGGGCGGGGGGGGGGGGGGGGGGGGATGGGAAAGAGTACTAAAAAGAAGTTATTTTGCCTCCCTCCAGATTCTGAGGGGGAGGGGTACCTCCTAGGGAGAGGGGCACACGCCTTGGGGGAGAGGGGTATACGGCAAGGGGGGAGTGGTGAACGCTTAGGGAGAGGGGTACACGCCCAGGGGGAGGGGTGCCCTGCCCATATGTCCCCTAGTTAAGTACATTTGTATGCTGCTGGTAACTGACTAGCTGGGTCTGCACAATTGAAACAGAATCCTATTTTAGTACACACACTTTACAAGGACAGTGCAACAAATGATAATGTTCCGTGAGAAACACTAAAACATGCAGATTGTGTTTGACAGGAAATGAAACTGATGGGCCTATATTTGTCCCTGCTTTCATACCGGATGCCTTTAGCATTTTTAGTGACAAGGGAATTCATTCGGTGTCATTCACAGACACCTAGCCATAATTACACAGCAATGCCTTGAGGATGCTGACATGGTTGGAGAAGACACACAAGAGACCATCTCACTTCACAACCTCTTGAATGTGATGGGACAAACTGAAGACTTACCAACAACCAAACACAACGACAGCTTACTAGATCCTCAATATTCATCAGATATTTTCTATCAAGAGTACAATTTAGGAAGGTTTCGGTACTACAGTTCATAGCATCGTTATAAATAGGCCTTCCTGTTTTGTCTAATTATTACTCCCTGTCTGATTTTTCTTGATAATGTACAGCATGTCTAGTGTACAATTTGTTTTGCAAGGCACAATATACAATGCATTTAGAATTTTTTTTCATAATTTTGATTAACATTTTGTGAATTAAGGATGAAAGGTCTAAGAATGTAATCGAACAGGGACAAACAATGGATGTACCTGTAGGATGTTCTTAAATGGATGTAAGGGATGTTCTTAAATTCCAAGAGAAACATTGGCAGGTGCTGCTATCTAGCAGGTGGTGCTATGACATTCAAGTTACCGGTAAGTGTGTTTGGTCAAGAAAGATACCTGTAGTCACAATATTAATTACATATATTCCCTAGCATATATACCAAACTTCATAAGATTAATTTATTTCAGTTTATCCCTTTTTCTTTCAAGTGAATCAAGGTAACTGCTCAATTGATTTAATTTGATAGAACCACATGCCACATTTCCTGAGGGATTTCCTTGACAGCAAGTTCATAATGAACCCCAAAATGCATCTCAGTTAAGACAATGTAAAAGCCATAAAGACAAACATTCTAGGGTCGTTGAATTCTAAGCGACCCAAGTTGACCCAAATTAAATCTGGTTACAGACAGGCAAACTTTATACTAATTAGGCATTTTTCAATGCCTAGGCTTTGAAGTTGTTTCAATGGATTGTAACAGTTGCTCTTTGTCATGTAGTCGCTCCCTAATTGTTTCAAACATCAAAAATAATTTTTACTAATTCTAATAATTAAGTTCCACAAAATGTATACATATGTAATTCACTCACGGGTACATATTGATCTATTTTTTAAATGCGTTGTAAAAAACTGGCGTCATCAGCATGATCACATTTGTATAGTACACTGCACAACCGTCCAATTCTTTAAAAAAAAATTGAGATTTTTGTGTCAGATGAGAGGTAAATTGTTTGTTACCTGAAACCGTTGCCTGGTTGAGATGAAGCAACATCAATCTTGGCTCTAATCCTCCATCACCATGACAACACATCCCGATGATAGCAACAGGGGTTCCTAATCTTCCGTATATTATAGGTTCTCTCCTAGCGGGGTAATAGCATGGGTTGTGAAGTGTTATTACAGAAAATAATAGTTCATCATTTTGACGTGATGTAATTTGGGGAATAAAATTGGCATCACAATATACCGATACACACACGGTATGTGAACATACATGTGTATGAACACAAATGTACTGTATGCCGCTGTATACAAAACAAAAACGCATTTTTTCCAATCAATATCATGACACTAAACACTGTTTTCCCAGACAGGCAATAAATAATCAGATCACAAAGTACAACCACTGCTGCAATCATTTCAATGTTTACATTCCAACTGATTGTCAACATGATATCAAACTGGGTTGATTGCTGACAAATATTACAATGTGAATGTTATCAGATAGTGGTACTGGGAAAATTTGTTAAGTGCCAATTTTGTCTAGAACAGATTAAATACCACATACATGTACACTTAATTATTTCCTGCTATAAACATGGTAGCTGTCAGTCAATACAAACACAAAGAATTTGACATCCAGCACCAATCACATGATACAAGCATTATCTTTTAAATATAACTTGCATACATACCCGTACTCTGGGAATTCCACAGGACTAAATTATGTTTTCTTGGTAGTCATTTTGGCATGCTGTTTTTACATGCAAAATGCAAGTGTTATTGTGATTTGTGTTCTTAAGGTAGAAAGAAAAGGTTCATGTTTTACGCCATTGAAAGAGTTATTTTTTGGGCCGATGCAGCGTAGTATACACGAGTCCTGTTTATTACGTCACGATTAACTATGTTTTGTTTGATGCCCCCAACGACGACTTTTACACAAATTGCACGTTCAGGTCGAAACAGGACCTGAAAAACAGTTCTCAAAAGTACCTTTTATACTCATTTCATGACAGACACAATAGTCGTTTTTATTTCATTACACCTTAGGCTACATATATACCCGAAAAATGACGGAAATGTCTTCGAGCATTCCACAACCTCTTTAACTAGTTGACAGATCAGAATTGTCACAGAAAAAGGTCAGGATTGATCACTGTAACTCAGATCACCGCTTTCAAATTCAACACCAACTTTGATTTTCTGTCTGGTTCATGTATTTCATCACAGCCTGGGTCCCAGATTTTACCCACAGGAAGCTCATACCTTAGCTGCAATGCATACCGACAGAATTTTGGTTTCTGGTTAAACCCATAAATTAAGTCATTTAATACCACACAACCTCAATTCGTACAATTTAAGCATGCATCTTGTTATTTGATTTATTCATAGCTCTGTGGTTGCTATCCTTCATGTAAAACCAAACATCGTAATTTATTTCCTTTGTTCAAAAATGCCTTGTTTACCTTTACATTCTCATTGACAAATTTGGTTTTCTTTTCTTCATACATGTAGAATTACTTTACATGATTGGTGCATACAGCATACATGTACCTGTACCGTATAAAATTTGCATGTGTTCACATTTAGTTTAGCGACAACAAAACAATACTTGTGTCTCTGCAGGTGGTTTACACTGCAGGATCGCTTGCCAATATGAGCAGTAAACCATGAAGTTGTTTTGAATTGAACAGTCCTTTGACAGTAATAAGCCCGGGGGATAGAGTTGCAATTGGCATTCGGTGTACCGTTACCGTCTATTCATTTTATTACTAGGGTTGTGGACAAAGTGTACATTTGAATGCTGATAGGTATAAGAAATGCCTACTGCAAGATAAATTGGTTGAGGTAATGGTGAAATAAGCATGGTCTGAATGTCTGATTCCTGCACACAACGAATTATTAAACTGTGGGCTACGCAGTCTACGCAACCACAACTTTAGGTTCTCCTTGTCAATATTGTGGTATTAATTTACAATGTATACTAGGCCTACTCACAATTATTTTTCTTTGTACTGATAGGTCTAAATGTAGATCCCTACATAACAATTCTATCTGATTTCTTTCAACTTTCAAGCAGTGTATGTATGTTTACATGAATCAAGCAACAAAAATAGAATTTTTTTTTCCCTTTCAAGCCACCGTCAAGAAAATACTTCTAACCAAGACCAATTCCTTTCAATACCTACATGTATCAAGCCAGCATAATATCTTCACAACTTTCAATGTATAATTATTCAAATCAATTGTTTTTACTGATACCCTATAAATCTGATATCTTCTTGGCCTTTTGATTTAATCAATGATACATATGTACATGTACATGTAATGTGAATTTTTGTTTGGTTTGAAGAAACAACATTGCTGAAAAGTATGGTTCACAACAATTGACCTGTCTGAGTCTTATGCTCAGTGGACATGTTGAGAAAACAGAGAAGGCGTGCAGGCATTTTATTTAGTCTTGTAAATTGATTCCATATTGCCAATGCATAAAAAAGTGTGCCCACAGGCAGACTTGTTTTAAACCACCTTCAATGATTGTCTTCTTTGGATTGAAACTTTTTCTAGCAGGATTAGCAATTCAGTATTTCCAAATACCAGTAATTAGACCCCAGAAAACGTGTGTGTTTACGGTAGCCCGACCTACCTGGCTTTTGGGGGGGCCAATTTGCTGACCTCAAACTTTTTTATTGTAATACTTGGCCAAATACTTAAAATAATTTTTTTTTTAATAAAAAAGGTCTTCCCAAGATTGTTTGTGCTTTTGGTTAATTAAACAATAAAAGAGGTTAATTAAACAGACCAAAGTTAAAGGTACATTGTACCTTAAAAGTAAACACAATTAAGTATAATAAAAGACCAATAAACATACACACACAAACTTTAGGTTTATTTTATTATTTTCCTCCCTAACTACCTGGATAATTGTTATGGCATTACCGTAACACACAAATATTACCTATTACCAATATTAGTAGACGCTGGCATTATTTTGTACACAACACAGCTGATGCGACAAATGAACAGTTGTGCACACCGGAAGTTGCACCAAAAATACCTATATTTTGGGGTTCAGCTTGATCATGTTGTCATTTTGAGAGGATCCTCTGCTGCATAATTTTAGGTATTACCCCTTAATAATGATAAACAAATTTTACGGTTAACAAAGCTTACGCATAATTGCTAGGCCTACTAAATTTGGTAGTAAGTGTGAAAGTCCATTAAATTTGCATGAAGCCTTGGCAGGCCAATCTAAATGCAGATAAAACAAGCTCTCGGAAGCTGCAGCCCAACTAGACCTATAAGTCATGTGTACATGTACATGATGTAAAAGTCTGTTTTTATAATGCACTACTACTCACGCGGTTGTGACTGTTAATTGAAATAAAGGATTAGTATTTGTTGAATGTTGTCACTTGGTGCATGGAGTGTTGGAAAAAATGTTGCAACCTGACGCCACTTTTTTCTTCATATATCATCTCAATGAAGGTCATTCATTGCAAAAATGATAAGACATGAGTCTGGGACTGAAAAACATTTCCAATTTTGTTAGGAAATACTTAGAAAATTTTCTTGACTCTCCATAGACTTTGTACACAATCGCGGAAGTGGTGTCAGGTTGCAACATTTTTTCCACAGTGTTTTACAGCTGTATGCTAGGTAAATGTGTAGTCCGAGTAACTTGGACCCAACTTATCGCCTTTTTAACATTCGGACATGGTCTGGCAATAGTATCGCCAGACCATGTCCGAATGTTAAAAAGGCGATAAGTTGGGTCCAAGTTACTCGGACTAGGTAAATGTGCAACACCAAATTTGTGCGCAGTACTACAGTGCCAGTCCCAATGCAAAGTGTTTTTAGTACAAACATCTGGTTTTTGACTCTAGTGGCCCAATTTTCCACAACTGCAATAAATTAATAATAGGCCTACATTAGCTTGAGTAACTCCAGCTCTACTGCCTATCGCATTAGAGCTGGAGACCTACATCATCATGATCATGTAGTTGGTCAGCATGGTCAGTGGAGACCTATGCAACTGTCACAACTTTGGGCAATGAACCACAGGCACGTGTTGTTGCGAGGGCCTAGGACAAGTTGATTGATGGCCAAAAATGGCATTTCGTGAAGTATATTACTAACCAACCAACCAAAAAACCAACGGGGAGACTTACTTAGTTAGACGAGCTAGCTCAGTCACAGCTAAATATCCCTGCCCTCGACCCTCCTACGTTTCCGACTGACATGACTGAAGCTCTGACAAAAAAGTGACGGTCAGCGCGGTGTTGAGTGTTGTGTTGTGTTTTCAATTGTTTTACTAATGAGATGACAAAGTACAGTCGTTTTCCTAGTTCCGGATAGCAAACATCATTCAGGCTGATTTCGGCTCAACTACTCCACGAATTCAAGTGACATTGATTAAAAAGTTTACCTTGAGTGATGGAGAGACCACGAAATAATTTTCAAAATTTAAGCTCTTTTCATTTTGATTTTACGACGTCAAAAGTGCCGATGTCACTTTTCCTAGTTCCGGATCGGTTCAATCAGTTCCGAATCGATCAAAACTACTTCATGCGAAAAAAAAAATCACGCGTTGAAAATCCTTTTTTTCAGCCAGAACCAACCGAATCAAACATATTTTCTGATAAAGTATTATTTCATTATCCAAAAATAGTTCATGCCAGAGAATTCCAGCAAATTTGAAAAAGAGAAAAAACGTAAATGATTTTGAAACTTTTGTCTGCAGCGCAACTGCTCGAACTCACGCACGGACCGAAAATCTTTGACCCAGCACCGGATACGCCACACAAAATCGATTAACGCGTTTGTAGTTGGGTCGTAAGTACACGCGCGATCCGGAACTAGGCAAAAGCATACGGTCATTCGTTGGCGAATTTTCAAATATTAGAGACGCTACAACTTATTTTGATTGAACAAACATTCGACGGAAGAGTTTATACGATTGTAGTGAATGAAAAAAATGTTTGAAACCACACTGTACGAGAGATATACCGAGGAGAAAATTTATCGTCGATTCGCAGCTCCCGTGATTTTCTTTAAACCGTCCAAGCATGTCGGAGTGCGAGTCGGAAATCTGGCCAAAATTCCTCTTCTAAAGGTTTTATCGAAAAGATCTTTGGGTATCAAGAAGCTTACATTTTACTTTTCAACATGCACTCCGTCATAATTTTTTTATTGGAGACTAATCAAAAAGAGGTAGGTTTTTATTTGAAGCGATCCGGAACTAGGAAAAATCCGGAACTAGGAAAACGACTGTAATGAACGTTTTTGTGTTTCATTTATTGCTTTATAGGCTTAGTGGTCTAAGTATACTTTTACTTTAGCACCTGCCATTGACTAGACCCGTCTTAGCCTTAGGCTTATTATGGCTTGAATTAATTGCTTTGTCATTTACAATTTTACTTATTTGTTTTTCCAAGACACAATTTATATAAATTTATTTTCCTTTATATTGTACATGCTATATTAATTGTATTTTGTTTATGGTTGGATACAAATAAATGTTATAGGAACTTAGGTTGAATTGAATTGAATTGAATTGAAAAATTGATTATAAAGTCGGACCACCACTTTTTCACTTACCATTTCGTTCAGCATAAAGTCTCCTTGGCCTTGAGTTCAGAATGAAATCCTAAAGTTAAGCCAAATATTTATACTCAATGATGTTTTAGTTGAGTTATTAAAAAATCTCGCGTCTCGTCGCGCCGTGTGGGTTTCGTCGCTCGGCAGGTGGCGGAGATCGAGAGTGCGCAAGCACCGTAATAACATAACTCGCAATATAATGAATTAACGTTACCTCTATCTTGCACACTAGCCCCTGCAGCAACGTGAGCAACGATCAACAACAGACATGACAGACAGGGCCATTATTTATTCCTGAATACCATGTAGATGATGTCACATAAAATGAATTAATATACAGTAATCATTAGTCTATATCAATTATTTTACGTGTGGGTTCTTTCCCAAATATCCTAATTTGTTATTTGTTTTACATACTATTCCACCAAATTTTACACACTATTCCACCAAATTAAAGCGTATTTTGAAGTATTTTTTGCCTGAAGTACACGTTAAAATCCAATTTTGGCTGTTCTGAAAATGGCAATGAATTCCTCGAGTAAGTACACAGGGTACAAGACCAACGGAAATCTCTTCGAAACTATCAACGGACTGAGGGCGCAAAGTATGGCGTGTCAAACGTTGCAATATTCAATATTTTGCAATATATATGTTGGATGTTCAATATATGTTTGTTATCTTTTACATTTATGTGCGATGTTCAATATAAGTGTGCGATGTTTTTCATTATTTGCGCGATGTTTAATATATTTGTGCGATGTTTAATATATTTGTGCGATGTTTTACAATATATGTGCGATGTTCAATATATGTGTACGAACTGCGATGTTTTACATTTATATGCGATTTTCAATTTATATGTGCGATGTTTTTGACGATATATATGTGCGATGTTTTCAATATTATTTTCGATTTTTTGCATTAAATGTGCGATGTTTTTCGATACAATTGTGTGTGTTGTTTTACAATATATTTGCGATATTCTCAGATATGTGAGCAATGTTTTACACATATGTTTGACATTTCGAGCTATTTGTATTCGATGTTTCATCGGTATGTTTGCATTCGATCTTTTGCAATATGCATTTGATGTTTCCCTTTTCATTCGATGTTTCGTTAAGAGTCAAAGTCTGGTTACTAGACCGCGAAAGTCTGACTATTTTGCCTAAAGTCAGTGTATGAGACGTCAGGGGGTTCGCGTAACGTGATTAGAGCCAGACCTAAACGGTAAAAACCGGAGTTGTGGGTAATTCTTTAAGCATACGCAATGCATTCATCATTGTTTGGGCAGTACCCCCAGCTGTGCCTGTACTACCCATAGTGTTGTGTGCATCATCTATGCATTGAGGAGTGCATGACACATGGTCTGAGCTCCAAGGCCGATGTGCACCTGTCCCGTTTAATGATCCATTTACCTGATAATTTGTTAGCATAAGCTGATGTAAAATTGGGCAAAATTAGATGTTTATGAAAAAAAATCAAATTGTAAGGGGTTAACCTTGCATTTTTTTAGCAAAATCGGGGAAAATCAGATGTTTCTGGAAAATTGCAGATTGTATGGGGTTAGATGTTTATGAAACATTTCCAATTGTAAGGGGTGAACATTGCATATTTTAGCGAAATTGGGCAAAATCAGATGTTTCCGAAAAATTTCAGATGTAAGGGATTAACCTTGCTTTTTTAGTGAAATTTTGCAAAGTTAGATGTTACGAAAAATTTCAAATTGAAAGGGGTTAACCTCGCATTTTTTTAAAGCGAAAATGGGAAAATATCAAATGTTTCGGGAAAATTGCAGATTGTAAGGGGTTAACCTTGCTTTTTTAGCAAAATTTGGAGCATATTTTATATCAGATGCTTCTAAAAAATCCAGATGTAAAGTTTCCGCAAAAACAGCTGTTGAAAAAGAGCCCAATGTTGAACTTTACTGAGTCTGAGGTCTATCGAGGGAACGATCCTTATTTCAACTCCCGGAGATTCGCTGACAGTCTCTATTTTTCTTTTTAAGAAAGTCAAAATAGCTGAAGAGGGAGGTGAGAATTTATATGTGCCCAGATACAAAGAGTAGAAATCTACGCGTCTGCCTTTTGAAAATACACAATTGCGGTGTTCATTGTTGCGTAATGATCCGCCTAGCACACGACTGTTTTGCACATTAGGCTGTGTTATGCAGCTTCCTAACAAACCAAACACACTGGGCTCATTATATCGGCTTGTTTTTACCCATTAAGGTAAAGCAAATGGACCCAGTAATCTTCCTGGCGCGTTTGCTCACCTATAAAGACAACTTTTCTCAGTTTAAGGAAAATTCTAAGGTAACGAAATGGCCGAGTGGTTACAATTCGTCGTCCACAGTTAGCGGGGTCCCGGGTTCGAATCCCGCTGGTGTCTTTTTGGTTTTTAACGTATGAGTTCAATGAGTTCAATCATTTACTATAAGAGATTTAATTTCCCGTCGTAAAGTACCAACAGTACCTTAGCTTAATCGGTAAGCACTGCTGCTGGTACTGTCCGCGAGTTCCAGGTTGGCGCCTTCGTACAGGTTCAGGGCATGTGGTCCACTCGGAGGATCAGGGCTTAGGGGCCGCCCTGTTCCTCCCTTAGCTCTTTGCTTTTACATGGTGCCTGGCCCTCCGGGGTTATATGGATGGATAGGGAAGGAAGTGTGTATTGGTCGGGGACGCCGAGACCCCGGAAGAGAACTAAGGGATCGGCTGGGGCATTGTTATGGCTCAGACCGATCCCTGAAAGCTTGACTAGCACATAACTTTTTGATTTTTTTTACCCTCTATCTTTTATACTTTGGTTAAGTTTGATATCTACAGCTGCTCGGCAGGTCTACGGGTAGTATCAAAATTGAAACAAAGGTGTATGTCATAAATCAATGAATATTTCATAATTGACTACAATGTATAATCAAAACGGAGTTTCGTTTGATCAATTTGACTATCATTATATAATGACGCGATTGCCAATTGACGTAAGAAACGCCATGAATTATACCGGGAAAGAATAAAGATGTACATTGTAATATAAATATTATTTATACATCTTTCAAATAACGTGTCTTTAATTGTGAGCGTTCCAAACAATACAGTAATTCGCAAAAGTAATAGAATGGTATATGATAGCACGATCATTGCGTCTCTATTAAATTTAAAATATATAATTTAGGCCCCTATGTGTGAAATATTCTTTGATTGACGATATTCCATACGAATGAGTTAATTCGCACAATATAGCAACAACAAAAGAGAAAGGAAAAAGAGAAAATTCCTTTACCCTAAAAACTGGAAATATAATTTGTTTTAAAAAAGTCTAATGGGACACTTCATGTATTGATTGAACAGTTTGCAAGGAGTTAGCCTTACATTTTTAGCAAAATTTGGAAAAATCAGATGTTTCTGGAAAATTGCAAATTGTATGGGGTTAGATGTTTATGAAACATTTCAAATTGTAAGGGTTGAACCTTGCATATTTTAGCGAAATTGGGCAAAATCAGATCTTTCTGGAAACTTTCAGATTGTAAGGGGTTAACCTTGCTTTTTTAGTGAAATTTGGCAAAATAAGATGTGTATGAAACATTTCAAATTGTCAGGGGTTAACCTTGCATTTTTTAGCAAAATAGGGCAAAATCAGGTGTTTATGGAAAATTTCAGATTGTAAGGGGTTAACTTTGCATTTTTAGCAAAATTGGGCAAAGTCAGATTTGTATGAAAAATCAAAAATTGTAAGGGGTTAACCTTGCCAAATTAGGGCAAAATCAGATGTTTCTGGAAAATTGCAGATTGAAAGGGGTTAACTTTGCTTTTTTAGTGAAATTTGGCAAAGTTGGATGTTTATGAAAAATTTCAAATTGTAAGGGGTTAACCCTGCATTTTTTTAAACGAAATTGGGAAAAATCAGATGTTTTTGGAAAATTGCAGAATTGTATGGGGTTAACTTGGCATTTTTAGCAAAACTGGGCAATATCAGATTTTTATGAAAAATCTCGAATTGTAAGGGGTGAACCTTGCATTTTTAGCAAAATTGGGCAAAATGAGATGATTCTGAAAAAATTTCAGATGTAAGGGGTTAACCTTGCTTTTCGAATTGTAAGGGGTTCACCTTGCATTTTTTAGCAAAATAGGGCAAAATCAGGTGTTTATGAAAAAAATTCAGATTGTAATGGGTTTACCTTGCATTTTTAGCAAAATTGGGCTAAATCAGATTTGTATGAAAAATCAAAAATTGTAAGGGGTTAACCTTTGCCAAATTAGGGCAAAATCAGAAGTTTCTAGAAAATTGCAGATTGAAAGGCCAGGGGTTAACCTTGCATTTCTAGCAAAATTGGGCAAAATTATATTTTTATAAAAATTTCAAATTGTAAGGGGTTAACCTTTGCCAAATTAGGGCAAAATCAGGTGTTTATGAAAAAATTGCAGATTGTAAAGGGGTTAACCTTGCATTTTTAGCAAAATTGGGCTAAATCAGATTTGTATGAAAAATCAAAAATTGTAAGGGGTTAACCTTTGCCAAATTAGGGCAAAATCAGAAGTTTCTAGTAAATTGCAGATTGAAAGGGGTTAACCTTTCATTTTTAGCAAAATTCGGCAAAATCAGATGTTTCTGAAAAAAAATCCGATGTAAGGAATTAACCTTACTTTTTTTAGTGAAATTTGGCAAAATTAGATGTTGATGAAAAATTTCAAATTGTAAGGGGTTCACATTGCATTTTTAGCAAAATTGGGAAAAACTTTAATGTTTATGAAAAATTTCAAATTGTAAGGGATTAACCATTGATTTTTTTGCAAAATAGGGCAAAATCAGGTGTTTATGGAAAATTTCAGATTGTAAGGGGTTAACTTTGCATTTTTTTAGCAAAATAGGGCAAAGTCACAGGTTTCTAGAAAAGTTCAGATTGTAAGGGGATAACCTTGCATTTTTAGCCAAATTGGACCAAATCAAATTTACATAAAAAAATCAAAAATTGTAATGGATTAACCTTGCCAAACTAGGGCAAAATCAGATGTTTCTCAAAAATTGCAGATTGTAAGGGCTTAACCTCACATTTTTAGCAAAATTGGGCAAAAAGAAATGTTTATGAAATTTTTTTTTTTTTAGTGACATTTGGCAAAGTTGGATGTTTATGAAAAATTCAAATTGTAAGGGGTTAACCCTGCATTTTTTAAAGCGAAATTGGGAAAAATCAGATCTTTCTGGAAAATTGCAGAATTGAATGGGGCTAACTTGCATTTTTAGCAAAATTGGGCAGAATGAGATGTTTC